CATTAAATCCTAAATCTCTCCTTAAGTTCTCACTGTTAAGGCAGAAGGGAGGTGCAATAAACAATGAATCACAGAGATCAGATCCTAAATCAATAAAACTTTCCTATTCCCAAGGAAAGACTTAATCACCATAATGGATTTTCCCCCCCTCTATGAAGGAATCTGAAATTATTGGGCTTGTTCCCAAACTCAGAAAATGGCAAACTTCAGTAAAACAATGGACAAACCAACTCTTATTGTGATTCAGCTCTACAAGCACTAACAATGCAAAAGGTATTAATTTAGAGCACACTGACAGTAAACGCCACTCCCATCAACATTTTCACAGTTGTCATCATAAGAATAGTAGAACCAGAATCCCACTAAACAGAAAGAAATGAAGCAGTTAACACCTCTCAATAAGGAGTTGTATTTCAGAATCAAACACCCCTAGGCTTTGAGCTGAAATTGCCCACATTCGTTGTCTCCCAGGACATAGTCCAATAACCATTTATTCAGCCTCTATTGGAAATGAGTAGCAGTTGTAATAATGCAACAACTAACGCCCAACTTATTACCTGTGGGAGGAAAGCTTGGTTTTATTCTCTATAGTCATAGTTTTTTTCCACTTATGTACCTAAAACTTTATAGAGACATTTTAAATTTCTATCATGAAAGTTTCTGCACTAGTAAATGCACTCCAAAGACTGTATATGTCTTTGCATTCATGTACTGGATTCCACTCACACTAGTCATAGGAGGGGAAGAAAAAAAATAAACACCTTTCTACAGACACCTCTCAAAACAAGCAGTATAAATAATAGATATGGACTACACCATAAAGAAAAGCAACTCATTCAGAGCGCTGTCCCACAAGCATTCCAAATCATACTGATTAGGAGCTTCACTGGGTCTCAATACTCTAACATTCCATCCAGTCTGATGATCTTCCTCAAGTACAAAATCTGTCTCAGAGGACCTGAAAAGTTCCCCAGATACAGTCTGCCAAAATAGGTGTAGTCACACCATGCCCACAAGAGGAGTAAAAGCGTGACTGGATTTGCAGAAGTCAGAAAGTGTTTTTCATTGGTCATTTACAATCCTCAATAAAAAGTTCCCCTACACCTAACTAGCTCCAGTAAATTTTTGTTGGACACCATCCTCTGAATCAATGTCCGTTTATGGTAACCATACAGGGAAAATATACTCCATCTGCACAGAAGCTGAGCATCAAGAACTCCAACCACATGGAAATCGCTAGGCTAAAATCTAAAGCCACCATAAAGGCTCCTCTTGCCATCAACATACAAGTTCACATGCAAGTCTTCTGATTACCCACAAACAAGACTTGCATAATTTTCAACATGCAAAAGGAAAGCGTGTCTCTGCTTTGATCCCAGCAGAGCCTCTATGCACAGCTTATGTACTAGACAATCAGCTTAAAGTCTGAATGTCTTCAATAAGCCCATAAAATAAACAATCATTTATCATCTTTACGATAATGACTAACAATGATTAAAAAAACTTGGTGGAGTGTTTATTACAATCCTTCTCCACCCACAGTGACCTGTAGACCAGAACTTTTTAAAAGGCTGCTTCATAAGAGAAAGGTTAAGTCTCACCAAACACATCAGGGTCAAAAGTCAACATTCTAGAATGATCTTTAAGATGAAAACAGCAGAGAGTGACACTTAGGTTTTTTATTGATTTCACTGCCACCACATCTTTGCATTAATCACTTTTTCCAACAGCTTTTTTGGAGCCTGCAACATAAAAGCACTCAAAGCATCATTCAACCATCTAAGAAATTAGTATGCTCTACTATGAATATTTACCTTTCAAATTCACCTAGATATACAAAAATAAAATTTAATCACTGTTTACTTCTCACAAGGAGATTGCATTCCCTGTTAAATAATGACAGCATTGTCCTTAGAGACCACTGCATTTCTGTGGTGCAGCCAGCTACAGGCAGCAAGATGGGGGAAAATAAAGAAAAGAGGGAATTATTGTACAACAAAAATTCTCTTACACAATATACAAGCCTATCTCAATACTAAGTGTCAGTGGATTCACCTCAGTGATTTCTTAAACTCATAACCTACACAAAACAGCTTCCCTCCTGTTTAGAACACTCCTCATTGAGGCATAGTTTAGCCAAGCCTCCAGTATTTTTTTCTGCCACAAATGGCTACTTTTATCTTTTACAGACAGAAAAAGATGTGCATTATCATACTAGAAACTACTCTGGATTTACCAGAGTGCCATATCAAAAGTAGACTCAAATAGTCAGTAACTAGGCTACACAAACATACCTAAGTAAATATAATAAACAAATAACCTGCTCTCAGTAGCAAGTCTAGCCAAGGAGATTCCTGTTAGATTAGGAAGATTCCCTATACAGAGGTCTGTCCATCCATTTTGATGCAGCTGCTAACAATAGAATATGATATTATGTAATAAACCTGGTCTCTAACATACAGGCTACATCAGAAGGAACTGCATGATTCTGAGGCAATCCTACTACCAGCTCTTTAACTCATCCCACTGCTGAAGGTGACACTTCACAGTAGATCTAACCAAATGGAACTTGTGACCATCTCTCAGCAACCCAATTCACAGCCTGACTTCTGTATCCTAAACCCAGGCTCTGGAACAGCTGATGTTTGGCACAGTCTAAGTATCTACAGATAAGGCAAGATTTCACTACAATCACTCTAGGGTGCAATTTTACTACAGAATAAATTCACTACAATCACTCTAGGGTGCAATTTTACTACAGAATAAATCCAGTGGTTCAGAGAGGCCTCACAACTGCACAACTCACAACTGCTCAGAACAAAAATAGTCTACTACCAGATTGAACTCAAAATGGCAATAACAAGATCATCACAGCAATAAATCAATAACAAAGAGAAGAAAACACTGAGAAACCAATTGTAAAATGCATTTGCATAGAAACAATGTTTACAAACACACTATTAAACATAAGGATGTCATAGTAGCAACTACGCGCAGACGGAAGCTTTAACTTGAGTTTACAGTCTAACAGTCTCAGGAAATCACAACAATGACTTTAACTCATACTTCCACGTTTCATGAAGTTTTGCAGAAACTTTGGGATTTCAGGGTGCCCCTATTAAAGATAAATATATATATTTACAACAGTTAAAAAAAAAAGTCCACTTCAGGTACTTTTAGCAGGGTATTGTCAATCAGGCTTCTTCATATAAGTACAAAATATACTGCATAGTTCTGCAAAATACTCTACCTTCTGTTTTACTAAAAGCAGCTTAATTTTAAGCAAATTTAGACCAATCACAGTTCATTTTTCCTGAACCCATAAAATGGGCACAAATACATTCAGGGCTCTTAACATATAAAAATGAGCATGCTTAGGTAGGTACCTTCAATTAAACACAGCTGTATTTAATTGATCAATCCCTTTGGTAAGTATTTAATGAAAACACCTGGCTTGGGGAGGGGTGTTTACTCCTACTAGGCATCAAAGCAATGCTATTCTTTTTCATAAATGATGAACTTATAAAGCTAAATTAACAGATATAATCTATGCTAAATTGCTTAACTAGAGCAAACCAAAGAAGGTGTTTATTGATAGCTGTGATAATGTTGCTGCTGTAGATTTCACCTGAAAAGAGGAGACTCCCATGAACAGGGATTGCAATCCTAACTGTAGTGAGTATATTTTTTATTATCTTAGAGGTTCATTTCCAAACAGATTTAAGAGAAGACTTCTCTCTAAGGAAAAACATAGTGTGAGGCCTAAAAGCTGCTTTTTGCAGAAGCATGATTTAGAAATGTGTTTTGTATTTGAAAGTTAGTTCTTTGTACTCAACACTTACTAGAAGAGGCGTGTATCTGATTGGGCAAGCTTTTTACCATTCAAAGATGTTTTAAGCATTTTCCTATCAGCTAGATCATTAGAAAGATGATAATTTCAGTTTACAGGAAGTATCTTGGCACTCCCTTATAGCTAACCACAGAGTGGCATAAAAGCTCAGAAGAATGTTCCCTTCTGTTGTATCTTTAAAGGTGAATCACTGCAAATGAGAACTAATGCAGTGAATGCTATACCAAACCCTTATATGTATTCAAATACACATCTGATTTTATTCTAGGTGTCAGAAAGGTGCTAATCTGTCTGGCTGCCAGAGTAACCGTGCCAGACTCAAAGCTGCAGTTATTGTTAAGTTCCACTGATGTGATGCCTGGACCCAGAGCAGCAGGCATCCTTTCACTGGGCTACAGTGCTGCTGAATGAGGATTTACTGTTCTAAAAAGCCACACAATGCAGCACTGGAGGGGCACCCTCTAAATAAACTGTTCAGTCCTGAACTTCAGGTTTTTTGTGCTGGCTTAACAATTGTACACCAAATAGATGCTATAACTCCAACAGAACAAGTGATCATCTGAAATGGTAACCAAGGGCACTGGTTTCCTTAATATCATTAATTTGATGTGCTATTTGCAGAGGTGAGGGGAAAAAAAAAAGTATATATTTCTCTTTTGACTAAATGTTAAGGACTGAAAGTTCTATCAAAGCAAATACTTCAACTTTATTAACTATAATAAAAGAGAGTGGGGAAAAAGAGTTACATAAAACTTGCTAGAACATAGTTATTGAACAGTGCAGTTTCTAATCTGGGAGATAAATGTAGGTCAAGGGAACTGGAAAATCTAATTACTCTGTAAATTTTTAAACCTGTTTCTTTCTTCTCAAGGAAAAGAAAATTGTTCCCTTGCATTTATGCATACTTCACTCCACATGTAACTCCAGCTAAATGGGGAGTTACTTCTGTCTGAACACAAAAAGGTTTTTGAACTTCCTTTAACAGTGTCTTTGTGTCTTGCATGGTTTTCTCAGCTTTGGCTTGTGCTTGTTCTCAAGTTAACATTAGTTATTTCACAACCAGCATTATGGTCTGCAAATTCCAGAGACACCTTTCACGTTTAAAAGAAAAAAATAAATAAATAAGAAGCCATCTCTAAATAAAACTGACCTTTGGTACACCACTGTAGCAGTTCCTCTAGGTAACATCCCATATAACTGTAATGTGATACCTAGTGTTCATACAGCGCGTTAACTAAGTATGAGGCAATGCATTATTACAGAGCTCCTGCTAATATGAATATGTGACAGCATTGTAAATGTTAATTATTTACTGATGGTTTAACTGTTTCACAGATAGTTGTCGCTGTCTCCTGTGTCTAAACAGACTTACTTACAAGAAGACCGAATAGTTCAAAGAAAATGTGAGGACTCACACCATTTGCAGATTCCAAAATCAAGGTCTATTGATTTTTTTTGGAATCATACAAACCCAAAAAGATACCACTTCAGGCATTTATTTCCTGGCCCAATTAACCCTTTTAAAAGAATGAAGGGGGGGAAAAAAAAAAGCAACTCATTAAGCAATCCTCTGAGACCCCATCACCAGAATGCCCTACCACTTCAAGTCTCAAGTCATGTATTCTCTTTGCTTTTACTCACAAAGGGTTGTGGGTTTTTTGCATTGTTGTTTTTCATTGTTTGCTTGGTTTTATCCATTATGTAAAACAAAAGCCTAATTATACCTAGGCAGAAGTCACTGCTTCTAGAAAAACAAAGAGAGCCCCCCAAAAATTATGGAACACTGCAACTGTCACTGCATTTGAAGATACACAGATGAGAAGAGACAACTGCAGCCAGATGACATCTTGTATTAACCAGCCCTTCGTGCAGAGCTCTCTTTGATTCCTACCCCTGTGATACATGATGAAGAACCACGGCATTTCACAACAGAAGGAGGACTTGTATGTTGTGCTCTGATTTGGCAGTCAACACTTTGTTTGTTTTTGGGGGGTGGGGAAGTAAGCTGTACAAAAGCAGAAAACCTGGCCTCAGCTCATCTGATCTTTGGACACTGTTCTCGTTATGCATAAATTCTACTTTTGACCTTCCTCCAACTGTGCTGGCAGGGAAAGACTCTCAGATTTATATTAAATTAAAAAAAAAAAAAAGTAACTCAAGAAGAGCCACAGAAGGGACTGAAAACCTATTTGTTGTAAAAGGTAAAAAAGGTAAGCCTCAAACAACAGCTCAGAGAACACCCCAAATTAAGATGAGTTTTGTGACAATGGTCTACAATAAAGAGCAGACAAATGTGTTTTTAATGATGTGATTTTTACTGACTTACGTGAATACATATCTCTGCCATTTATGTGGATGTAGGTGGCAAGGTTAAATCTAAGAAACAGTGGTACAAAGACTAACTGCAGTATTAATTTAATTGCACTGTACCACACCCTGTTTTCTGCAGTACAGACAAGTCTACAAATATAAGCATTACATACGTGCTTTTTGTCTTTTCCTTAGTGTTCTTGGAGGTTTCTGTTTCAACCCTGTAACCTATGAACTACTAATTTGTAATACTAATGGGGTATCAGTCCTTCCCTTGCAAAAATATATAAACAATTCTGATTAGAGAACCATTAAATCATTACTAAGACTATACACGGCCTGAGGTGTGACTGCTGACACACGAGACCTGGATCTGCTCTGAATGAGAAGGCAAAGAAAACCTCTAACCTTCCAGGCTAATTGCTAGGTGCTTTTTAGAATAAAATATACCTATACAAGTAAAATAATGTGTAAAAAGCAAATTAAATTTGTTGTTTCTTAACCTTTGGGCACTTGACTTTACAGCTTATAACTTATAGAATAATTCAATATAATATTGTTTTCCCACCTTTATATTCCATGGTTTTCAACTGTGACATTGCAAAGCACTGTCACATTCAGTGTAAGCTCTGAAGAAGATCCAAGTGTTGATGACAACCAGAAGGGACTGCAGTGGTGAGGTACAGTCGTGTCTCAAAATGCACACAGGTCCCACCTGTCACAGGTCAGAAAGAGCGTAAAATAACAAACCTTAAGATGAAAAAGCATTTGGATTCTGGGGCAACAAAGCAGGTAGGATTGAGGCTTAGGTCCAATCTGCAAGCGCTAAGGTTTTTCTGCATATTCTGAATGTCAAGTAAGATTGAGGTTAAGGAAAATACTCGTGGAGCAGCTCGGTTGGGTGACTGCCATAAGCAGCAGCAATCGCTGCCTTCCACCTGTCAGTGCAGCTGAGAGTTCTGAGAGCTGCCTGCACCCAGTGCCACCAGGGCACTGCAGGAAGGTTCCTCTCCCTGCTCTGCTTTTGGGCTGGGTTTTTGCAGGATCCCACGGTCACAGCGAAAGCAGCAGGGCCTCAGTGGAGGTGCGGGTGGGATATCCGGAAAAATTTCTGAGAGTTTAGCTGCACTGACACAGGCTGCGCAGAGAGAGGGTGGAGGCAGCTGTCCCTGGAGGTGTCCGATGAACTCGTGGATGCGGCGCTGAGGGACGCGGTCAGCGGGCACGGTGGGGATGGCTGACAAAAAGATTAGTGGCTTTTCCCAGCCCTAATGATTCTAAGACTAGATCGTAAAGAAGGCATGCGAGCAGCAGACCAAAAGGCTGGGCCTTCTGTCTACCTCAGCTCCTGAAGCGCTTTCTTCACACATACATACACACAGTCGCATGCACGAAGCCTGCCGTCCAGGCCCGCAGGTGCGCCCCGCAGGGCCAATACAGCACAACCTCAATGCGAGGAGGCGGAGCCGCTCCCTCCCGGCAGCCCCACATCCCAGCGGGGCTCCGACCGGAGAACCCCTCACCCCGCCGCTTCGCCGCCAGCCCGCGGCGCGCAGGGCTCGCCCTGGCCCCGCCCACTCCGGGGCCGCCGCCGCCGCCGCTCCCCTCAGTCCCCGCGGGTGACTAAGCACGCCGCCGTGACCGGCCCCCTACCTTCCCTCCCGCCCCTGCGCCCCGCCCGCCGCCGCGGACCGCCCCCCCTCCACACTCCCTCCCCTCGCTGCGCCTGCGCGGTTCGCGCGGCGCGCGCGGGCGCAGGAATGTGCGTTCCAGTTAAATAGTGGGCGCAGGGGCGGCCGCCGCGGCGCTCGGGCGCGGGGCGGCGGCGGCTCTCGGCCGGGCCGGAGCGAGGGGAGCGGGGCCTCCATGGCGCGGCGCTGCCGCTGGGGCGGTCGCAGCGGTGCGGCGCGGCTGTGACGGGCGGCCGAGGGCCGGCCTTTCTCCCGCCCCGGCGCCTAGCGGGGCCCTCGGCGGCGGAGAGCGGCGTCCCGGGGCGGTCGGAGAGGAGCCGTGGCGGCCGGGGGCTGCCGGCGGGTCACCGCCTCTATGATGAAATTTAAGCCGAACCAGACGCGGACGTACGACCGGGAGGGCTACAAGAAGCGGGCGGCGTGCCTCTGCTTCCGCAGCGAGCGGGAGGACGAGGTGAGCCCGGCACGTGGGGCAGGGGGGCGGGAGCCGAGACCCGGGCAGAGCGGGGCAGTGTGAGCCGGGCGGGGCTCCGCGGCTCTTTGTCTCGGCGCGGGGGGCACCGCCACGAACGGCCGTCCCCGCGCCCGGAGGAGGCGGCGGCGGCGGTGTCGGCGCGGGGCGGGCGCGGCTCTCGCCCACCATCTTGGGGCTGTGGGGCGCGGGCCCACGTGCGCGGGGCGGCGGCGCCTCCTTTGTGCGCGCCGGGCCCCGGGCGGCGCCCCGCGTAATGGCGGCCCGATGCGGGACGGGACCGCGGGCTGCGGGCATGGCGCCCGACCGTGGGGTTCCGTGGGGCGGGGGGCGCGGCCCTACCCGGGGGGGGGGAATGATCTTAACGCTGTCCCGCCTCGCGGTCGGCTTCTGCGGGTTTTAATCGTTATTTTTCGGTCGTCGGAGGCAGCGCGGTGCGGTGTTGCGGCAGAATCGGGAGGTGGCAACAGCCCTGCCCTATATCCCAGCCAAGGTCAACGGCACCGGCCGTTATCTGCGAACTTCGCTGATGGATGCGTTGCACAATGCGTCTCCGTACTGTCTGGAAGCACACCCTGTCCTGGCTTTCGTTCTTTTCTTTTTTAATGCCTTGAAATACGCCGGTTACGGCTTGCGTTTGTTCTCCTTTCCCCGTGGGCTGGGAGGAGCGCTCGCCCCGTGCCTCCTGTCAGTGAGGCACGTGTGTTGCGGGGCCCTCAGCGCCCGGCGGGGAGAGGCCGCACCTCCCAGCGCTGAGCAGTGCCTCCGGGAATCAGCCCGAGTGGCGTTCTGCTTCGTGTTATCCCGTGTGTGCTGTCGGTGCAGCCTCAGGAGCGATCTGAGCGGGCTTTGCTGGGTGTTCTAATAGAGAAGAGTGCTCGGCAGAGATCTTGCCAGCTCCTGCTGTGCTCGTAAGAATGGCACTGCTGAGCACAGAGGTGCTGCGGGTGGAGCACCTGTACAGCTGTCGCAGGCTGGGCTTGGCACTGCCGAGCAGATGTGTTGCAGGATGGGGTAAGGTGGGTTCAGGGCATACATCAAACGTGTGGTAACAGCTTTGCCTTGTGATGTGTTGCTTCCTGAAAAGCAGAGGTCATGTGCTAACCTGGGTCAGATGTTTCCCTAGTGCCAGTTCTACCACCTCACTGCAGAGCCTGTGCCTCAGTGTATTGTGGCTGCTGTTTGTATCACCAGCTGTGTGCCTCAGCTGGATGAGTGAGATATGCTTGTGATGTTCCTGAACACTGTTCTCTAAATACACTTCAGTGTAAGTCTGCTTGAAATGCTACATCTTCTGTGCTTCCTTTTCCATTCTCTGGAAATGGTGCCACCAGTTTTCACCTGACCTGACTCTCCAGGCCACTCCAGGTAGGGGAGCTTATGCTCCAGAGGAGCCACAAAGGCAGTGGTACCTGGGATCTGCTGCTGTCTTCTCATACAAACCAAAGAATTATCCTTCATTTTTGCCTTGACTCTGTGTGGCTGCTTCATGTCCAGTTATGTCTGTTCTTCACCTACTTTTATTTCTCCTTTCTAGTACTATGATTTGGTTCTTCAGTAGACAGCAGCTGTTCCCTAACAATGTTTTGATGGACTTTGAAGTCTTAGAACCACCTCTTCTAACACCTTTTTTTCCATTATTCCATTTTTTTCATCTACTTTAGTTTGATACCACTATTTCTTGAATGTAGACTACAGGGTTGTTTTGAATGGAATCCCACTGCTTTGTGCAGATGGCTACTAATACCTGTCTCCATACCACAGAGGAAAAATACGATAGATCCTGTCTTTATCATAACTGCAGAACTTTTGTGTACTCATCCCTTGATTAGAAGTGATATCAAATACTCAGGTTGCCTTCTACTTGTTATATTTCTGCTGGAGCAGAAAGTTATTCCTGCATACTGGATTCACAACAGATTCTTCTTAAACAATTGCGATTTTAATGGTGTAACTTCAGATTATCAACAGGGGCACTTTGCTGATTCATGGATGCTTAAAGTAGCAGGCTTAAAATTTTCAGTAATAGATTTTTCATGGTTGTCCTCAATGAAGGCATCTACTGCATAAAACAATATATGTCATCAGTCTTGCTGCAAAGTCTGCTCATGGCTTTTTGATGTGTTCCTTATCTATTCTGACCTTGTTGTGCTGTCTTTGTAGTCTTACTGAAGCCCATGTTACAGCTGTTATGGGTAACAAAGGAGCATAATAGTTGAAAAAAGTCTGGTAACAAAGAATGATAAACATATAAATAAATTGAAGGGGAAATGCATTACTTTCCTCTTTCTTCATTCAAAACATAGGTGAGTTCTAGGGTAGCTGTGAGGTGAGGGTGAGTCTGGTGAACCTTGCAAACAGCTGGGAGCAGTCACTGAGCTCCTGCTGTCTGCTGCAGCACTGTCCGTTAGAGCTACCAACAGTCCTTGCTGCCAGGTTTGAGAAAAGTCACTTTTATTTGGTGTTAGGGGTTGGAAATGGGGCTGTAACCTATCAAATGCTGCTTCTTTGTCTGTAGAGCTGGCATTGCAGAATGAAGTATGTGCTTGCAGGGTAGCTGATGTGTGTCCAAATAGCTGCACCACTGCAAAAATCCTCCATTCTTGCATCATCTTTCAAAGGACCCTGTGTGTGTGTCAGTTTGCTGGCATTGCCAGCTTATCTTAGATTTTTGTAAACATCATGCTGTGATATTGCTTGTTTAAAAAAAAAAAAACAACACCCTGGAAACCTAAATAGCCAAGAAATGTTGTCAGTTGCTTTGGAGATCTTGAAGTGTTTTAAAAGACCGTCTCTTAGATTACTGTCTTTAAAGTGAAGCCTGTTTTGGTTACTTCGGTGCCATCATTTGGGCTGAGCACGATAGCTGGATATCAGATTAGGCACTGAGTCCTTCTGCCATTTGTAATCAAAATGAAACAGTAATTGAAGGCACTGTGCAATTTGAATTAAAAAAAAATGCTGGAAATGAAGCAGGAGAAATCCCATGAAAAATGAAACAAGACTTTGAAGGTGAGAAATGTGGGGGCTGTGCATGGCATCTTTGCGCAGCAAGAAGCTGGTAGGTGTATGCTTAAGGCTGATTGGTATTCAGCGGGCTGGGATGGGCTGGCAGTTTGTCTGTGAAGAAATGCAAGTCTCTTGTGTGTGGCTTAGATATGGATGGTGCCTTCAGGATGAGCAGCAGGTGAGTCTCTTGCAGTGCCACAAGGGCTGGTGACTTCCCAAGTTGGAATTGCCTCTTTGTTGAATGCTGGCTTTGCACAAAGTGCTGCTACTGGCTTAGGGTTGGGCCAGAGGATAGGTGAGGAAATGCTCATCTCTTAGAGTGGAGAACGAGACCAGGATGGCAAGTAGTAAATGCATTTTCCTAATCACTTAAAGAACCA